CTACTTTTGAGCAACGTCGAAAGAGTGAACTACCGATAGCCTTGCCGTTTGGCGGTTGCTAGTGTTTCCTTCCACACTGGCTATTTCCGACTGCTTTCCAGTCTTAACTGTGAAAGAGGTTTTGACTTTTCCCCATCAATTTATGAATATTGCAGTTGCAAAAATTCAGAAGTATTTATTTGACCAGACATGGAATTACTCAAAATGTGAGCCTAAAACATGTAATTATTTAAAATATGCTTGCCGGATATTTGTATAACAGAATGAGTGATTGAACATAACAGTACATTTCATAAAATATCATTGTACTTTTACCTCGCAGATTCCTAGATGCACATCATTAGTGTCATGTTCGTTTACTACTTGCAATGCGGGGATGCGGAGACACGGCCCAAGGAAATGCTCGGAGGACAATTCTACGATGGTCGCAAGATTGTGATTCCGCTTGCTGAGAATGCTAGTATCCAACTGCTAAATCACTGGATTCAACAAGCCACAAGCGGTTTCATGGCTGCCTTCGCTAGCAGAAAGTAATTTTAATAATTTATGTTTCAGTTCTGGACTCTCATTTCAGAAGTGAGATGCATCAAAAGAAAATTTCTTTCCAACAGGACAGTAAAATCAGTGCCTAGATCTATATTTTTTTTCAAAATGTAGAGAATTTGATGCTGAAGTAATCCTACTTCAAGAGCTAAAAAAATGGGCGGAAAAACAAGAAAACGTTTCTACCGATGTTCCGCTCGGGCAGATTCAGTTACGAAGCATGCCGCCTGCATTGTGGATTTGTTGCAAGCCAAAAACACGAAGCGAGGTGCATTTTTTATTACATGTGATCGAGCACAATTTACTTTAAAAAGTTTTGGAACTGCGTTGCGCGTACATTATCAGCTCAAATCACCTTAACCTTCCAACTGTCCTGCGAATCAACATTAATTTTCCAGATGCCTCACAGAATGCCAAGATTTAGCTTCTTTCAAAAAAGCACTCCTGTGATTATGATTATTCGCATTTGCGTATATTAAAACAAAAAGCAACGCGCACCAGACTGACCGGTGCGATCATGTGTTTTGTGCAATTCGTCCACTGAACAATTGCATGTTAATGATTTTCATTGTTTTGTACTTTAGTCTGTGCAAAAATAGCTGAAACATTGAAAAACGGTTAAAAATTTCACGCACCGACACATGACATCTCACGCACCGGCACTACCTCAAAACTGCAGCTTCTTGGCTTTTATGAGGCCGTCGCTGACACGCGAGAGCGAGAGAACGCTACATTTGAATTTGCAAGGTCGTATGTGAGCAGGGGCTCATTATCCTAAAATTTCAGCTCCGTAGATCTTGTAGTTCCCGAGATAATAATTTATCCGCCAACAGTTTCACGGTGCCATTCGTGTTACCCGCGAGCAAGAAAGAGCTGAATTTAAACTTACTGGGCCGCATGTGCTCAGGGGACGTGCAAAATTTCAGGCTTCTAGTTCCCGTGACTGCCGAGATAATAATTTTACCCGCCAAGACTTTTACGGGCCGACCCGCAGGTACGAGGAGGTTGAATTTAAATTTGCGGGGTCGCACGTAGGGGGAAACGTTCCCGTAAATTTTAAGCTTCCTAGCTTTTGTGGTTCCTGAGTTGAAACTTGCGGAGAAGTTGCTGCGGGCACACACACACACACACACTTGCATATGCACAAGTACACACAGACAACTCCGTGACAATGTGCTTTTTGTACTGCTATTAAATAGCACAAGACGCATAGTTATAAATAGCAACGCGCACTAGACTAACCGGTGCGATAATGCGTTTTGTGCAATTCAGCCCATCGAACGATTGCCTATTAATGATTTTTACTGCTTTGTACTTTAGCCTG